GTATCTATTGTCTTTCTGCTGTTTACATCGAGTACATTTTATTGCTTTATCCTCAGCTCACAGATTCTATCCTCTGTCATTTCCATTTTACTACTGAACCCATTTAGGAAGTTTTAAAAATTTGTAGCCCTGGCCATTGTGGCTTAGATGACTGAGTGTTGTTCCATGCACCAAGAGGTCACCAGTTCAGTTCCTGGTCAGGGCGCATGCCCAGGCTCAATCCCCAGTAGGGGGCATGCAGGAGGCAGCTGATTGAATTCTCTCTCATCAATGTTTCTCTCTCTGTCTCGCTCTCCCTTCCTCTCTCTTTCAAATCAATAAAAAAATATTTTTTAAAAGTTATACTCTTGTATTTTTCATTTTCATTTAGATCCTTTTTATACATTTTATTTGCTAAAATTTTGATTTGTTTCCAAAAATTGTAAGTGCTTATTGAAGTATTCTTACAATGGCTGCTTTAAAATCCTTCTCAGATAATTTCAGCATGTGATTCATCTCATTGTTACTTTCAATTAATTGTCTGTCTCTCTGATATATCTCCAAACTGTGGATCCTAACTAGCTGATATCTACTCCAAAACTCTTTTCTGGCCTGTTCCTTTGAAGCTTCTGGCCCAGTGTAGTGCTGGTTCCCTGGGATAGGTCTCTTCTGAAGGTAAAATATTTTCTACTAGCTTCTGAGGTATAAGACTCATTTGGGGTGTAAGAGCTGTGGTTTCTATTTCCATCATTCTTTGTGAATTCTATTTAATAATCTTTCAATTTGACCTCTCTGGCATTTAAAGGCTTTAACTTTGGAGTATATATTTTTCCACCCCAGTTTTTCCTGTGTGTGTGTGTGTGTGTGTGTCTTGCCTCCAAAAGTATCTTCATTCATCATGCACATTGGGATCTTCAGGAGTCTCTTTTCTAGTCTTTCTCATTCCTAAAGACTTTTTCAATAGGTAGAGAGAACCTTGTTGTTTAGGAGGAATAGGCAATAATTTCATTGTTGCTTGGAAATCGCACCCTACTTCCTACCTGCCTCAAGTTCTTCTGCCCCCAGCTTATTTCTCCCTGAACCAGCTGTCTTTTCCAGAATGAAATCTGGTCTCTTTTGGATGAAATAAAGGGGGCACGACTACTTCCAAAAAGCCATTGTTAAAATGCTCAAAGGCTACAGGATTGTGTGTATAGAGACTTCAGCATTACTAGATGAAGGTTGATAGCTGTTATTTATTGATTTATTGCATTAAGTATGCCTTCTAATAGTGCTTCAGACAATAGCTCCTTGAATCCTCCTCACAATTCTTTCTCCTAGGTATCCCCTTCTATAAAAAATGTAAGTTCTCAAGATCCCACAGCTCAAAGGCATATTAAGGTGTATTCAGAGGACAAGGGAAACAACACACAAATATTCTAAACCTAGAGTAGCTGTGTGTGTTTTTTCTTGGTTTGTTTTTTTGGTTTTATTTGGTTTTATTTTTTGTGGGTTATTTTTTGTTTTGTTTTGTTTTTGCCCCCAAAGCATGTGCCCTTGAGCTCTACCCAACATAGATGTGCCTTTTAGTAAGACAAAAAGCTATGAAATATATTTCCACTAATGAGTACAAAACATCAGCTTAATTATAATGTCAGGAAAAGAAGAAGATCTGGAGTTAGACGAACTAGGTTTGGGCCTACATCCATCATTTTTGAATTCTGTAACCTTGAACAAGTAATTTTACCTGCTGCATTACTTTTCTTTTGCTGTGAAACAAATTACCACAAACTTCATGGCTTAAAACAACACACCCAAGCTACAGAACCCACTTGTAGAATAGAACTCCATGGGCTCGACTGAGTTCTCCGCTCAATCATGGCTAAAATCAAGGTGTTGGCTGGTCTGTGGTCTTACACACATTTTCTTGAGAAGAATCTGCTTTCAAGTTCATTCAGGTTGCTGACAAAGTCCAGTTATTAGCAGCTGTAGGCTTGAGGTCCTTGTTTTCTCTCTAGCTGTCTGCCAGGGGCCACTCTTGCAACTTAGAAGCTGCACACATTCCTGCCCCGCTTTTTTAAATAAGCTTTTTGCGATGATCAAATGAGACATTGTATAAAGAGTAGTAATGAATGCGATAGCTGCTTAATGTCCCTGGGCTTCCAGGGCACCCCTCAACCCCCTNGGTTTTATTTTTTGTGGGTTATTTTTTGTTTTGTTTTGTTTTTGCCCCCAAAGCATGTGCCCTTGAGCTCTACCCAACATAGATGTGCCTTTTAGTAAGACAAAAAGCTATGAAATATATTTCCACTAATGAGTACAAAACATCAGCTTAATTATAATGTCAGGAAAAGAAGAAGATCTGGAGTTAGACGAACTAGGTTTGGGCCTACATCCATCATTTTTGAATTCTGTAACCTTGAACAAGTAATTTTACCTGCTGCATTACTTTTCTTTTGCTGTGAAACAAATTACCACAAACTTCATGGCGTAAAACAACACACCCAAGCTACAGAACCCACTTGTAGAATAGAACTCTATGGGCTCCACTGGGTTCTCCGCTCAGTCATGGCTAAAATCAAGGTGTTGGCTGGTCTGTGGTCTTACACACATTTTCTTGAGAAGAATCTGCTTTCAGGTTCATTCAGGTTGCTGACAAAGTCCAGTTGCTAGCAGCTGTAGGCTTGAGGTCCTTGTTTTCTCGCTAGCTGTCTGCCAGGGGCCACTCTTGCAACTTAGAGGCTGCACACATTCCTGCCCCGCTTTTTTAAATAAGCTTTTTGCGATGATCAAATGAGACATTGTATAAAGAGTAGTAATGAATGCGATAGCTGCTTAATGTCCCTGGGCTTCCAGGGCACCCCTCAACCCCCTTACACAGAACCTGTCTAAACCGTAGGCAATCCAACCAGGAGGAAGGCTCTGCAGAATCTCAGCATGGCTAAGCCCACAGGGACCACTGCCTGCAAATCCAGGATCCCCCCCTTCCTCCCCCGAGCCCTGGGCCGCGGGTACAGGCACTCTCAGGTGTGGGGGGCGCTGGGCGGAAGTGGGGGGGAGGGGTTGGCAGCATCTGTGCTCGGCCAGCCCCCGCGAGGCCGGTCCCCCCCTCTGCGTATCGTGCAAGTGGAGTCTCCCAGCCTGCGCCCCCTGGTTCCAGCGCTCCTGACGCAGTCGGGCTCCGGGAGCATTCCTCTCGGAACCTGCGCGCGCGCCGGTCCTGCCCCCGCGCTCCGCTTGCCGCCTCAGGTAAGCGACGGGTGCCGCGGCCGCAGACACCGCCAGCGCCGCCGGGCAAGGAGCGGACTTGCCCGCGCGCATACTTGGTGACCCTTTCCGTGGGCACCCGAGCGCGAGGGTAGCGGGCGGACCTGCCTGGGTTGTTGCGGGTGGGAAGTGGCGGGCGCCCTCCCTGGGTGACGCGGAGGCAGTCCCTGCGGCCGTGGGTATCTGGGCACCGCGGACCCAGCATCCCGGCGCCTGGGGGTTCCCTGGCCGCCCCCTTGCCGTCCCCATGACTATACCCTGGATCGCGGCGCCCGCAGCGGCGAACCCTTGCCCGCGGTGACCGAAGGGTATCAAGAGACGCGGCAATTTTTCATGCCCAAGGAAAAGAGCCCAAGAAGGGCGAATTCAGGGGGGAATGGGTTTTGATAACCCTCTCGGATGTGTGCGTGTGAAGGGCTGGGAAGCCGTCCGTGTTTACAGCGTCTGGTTCTGCAGTGAGAGTGGAGCCGTGTTTTGCGAAAGAAAAGAACGCGCGTGCAGCCCGGGGTAAGGTGTCCTTGCTGGAGGTGCCGCGCCCGCCGCCCCGCGGGCACCGGTCTCCGCCGCGCGCCAGGCGCCGCCC